GCAACTAGGGCAACCCTATGGCACTACAAGATCCAAGCCCAGTGGTGGTAACCTACGGCATGCATGCTACAGTGGGCTGTTTTATCACCGAAAGCTCTAAAAGGCTCAGCACCACTGCCCTAGCCTTATTCCCAGTTCCTAAAGAACCATTCTGATGCCATGACAAGCTATAAAAATTCCTACACGGAAAGCGGTCACTAGAATCTACTCAGGAGTAAGCAGAAAGCTATTTCTGAGAAGCTCCGAAGACCCGAGCTCCGCTTCAGAAAGCGAGACTCCAATATTGCTCTGGGAGCAGGTGAAAAGAGTCACTAATGACCCTAATTCACCACAGCTTACATGGGCACCTGTACTCAGGCTCCTGTTTTTAAATATGTCTGCTATGTGGGTAATCTTGCCAAGGCTCTGGCTCTCTCTTGATAATCATCTCTCCTCGATCTTTGCTACACTTTGTCCTCCACAAGAAGTGCGGAAATCGGACCTGCTCCTCACACTGGGGTCCTACAGTCTCAACGCAATAGTAAAGTGAGTTTCTTTCCCATTATTAGACAGCTCCACATTCACCAGCTCTTTTTCCATCGTCTTCTCCTGGTTTTCTCTTTTCTTCTTCAGTTCAGCCGGTGAGCCACGACACCCAAAGGTAGACCCCGTAAAGAGGTATGCGGATTTGGGACCCTCGGGAGGAAATGAGACACGTGATTAGGGCACGGCCAGACCGTCGGGGAAACAGGCCTGACCTGTTCATTGCAAACTTCGGAAAAGTCGCTCAGAGCAGCTCCCAAAGCCCCGTGTATGGACTTCGTACAAGAACTTCGCAAGCAGGATTTGATAGGATGGCCTAGACTTGATGTCGGTCTGAGGAACAGATGATACAAAAGGACGGTTGCCGCTGGGTTTGTCGTTGTTCTCTCTTGCACGGATGCATTGCCCTCATGCTGCAGGGTGCCCTTCTTTTCCTAATTTTACTTGGCCTAAATTCGCTCTACAAAGCCCCTTTCCTCTCCTACCTTTAATAAAACTTTGTTACTGTTAAAAGACGACTCAAAACATCTCAATTTCTAGAGAAAAATTGTATTCTCCATTTCTAGGGGAAAAAGAATAAACCAAATCCAAAATCAATAGAAGGAAAGATCAGAGCTGAGATTACTGAATTGTTGACTAAATGAACAATACGAAAGATCAGTGAATCAGAGTTGGTTCTTTGAAAAGAGAAACAGGATCGATAAACCCTGGGCCAAACTAACCTAAAGAAAGAAGACACCAATTAATGCAATTAGAGATGAAAGGGGTGATAGTATAACAGATACCACTGAAATTCAGAGGATTCTTAGAAACCATTTTGAAAAACTTCTATTCTCAAAAACCGGAGAACTTAGAAGAAATGGATAAACGTCTAGATGCAGATGAACTAAAAGAATTAAATTGAGTGGATATAAAAAATCTAAGCAGATCAACAATAAGCAATGACATTGAAGCAATAATAAAAAGGCTTCCGATACAGAAGACCAGGACTAGATAGATTTAAAAAAAATTTTTTTTCTACTGGGGATCAACATACACTTGCAAGGCAGGCGGCAGAAACACTGAGCTAAATCCCCAGGCCAGGACTAGATAGATTTATCACTGACTTTCACCAAATCTCTGAAGAACTAGAAACAACGCTCTTCAAACCACTCTATGAAACAGAAAGGAAAGAACGCTTACAAATTTATTCTAGGAAGATAGTATCACCCTGACATAGAAAGTAGATACTTAGCAAAACGAAACTGCAGACCAACATCCTTCATGAACAAAGATGCAAAGACTGTCAACAATTCAAGCACACATTAAAAAGCTCCTAAATCCAGACCAATGTGGTTGCACCCCGAGATGCAAGGACAGTTTGACATACATAAATTAAGAAATGTAATGTGCCACATCAATAGAATCAACAAAAATAATTACATGATCATTTCGATAGATTCAGGAAAGACTTGTGACAAAAATCAGCAACTCCTTATAACAAAAACTCTGAATAAAATGGGTATAGAAGGAGCTTTCTTAGGAAACAAAAACAAACAAAAAACAGAAGCTGTATACAAACAACTCACAAGCAACATCGCGTACGCGGACACCTCTTCCTCGACAGGAACCCAGAGACTAAAGGCAGTAAAGGCTGTTCACCTACAGCGGGTCACAATTTTTCATGTGCTGCTTACAGTTATGTGCCATCTCCCCAGAGCTGAAATTTCCATCTTCAAAACCAATCTCTTTTCCTTTCGTGACAGCCACTGTGCACAATTTGGCAAGTTTAAGATTTTATCTAAAATTCTATTTTTCCAATTATCAGGTCATCAATAATTGAGTATTTAGGAAGTCACTGGGAGACAACAAGAGAATTTCAAGTATTTTATTTATTGTAAATGTTATATTTGTATATGCATATATACATAAACCAAAAAAAATTACTAATGAAATTCAGTTAATAAACCTATTATTAAACTTTATTATGAAAGGTTGTGAAAATTTTGTGTTTAAAATTTTATTCACCATACCATTTCTTCCACAGTAAAAATTTAGTTTTTACATGGCTGAGATAATAATTCACAGACACCACATTAACTTTTGTAATCATCCAAGAAAACCTTTTCTTCCTTCTTTTACCGAGCCTGATAGGAAAATGAGTCAAAAACAGACACGATCCAGCACACCTTCGTAAATGTAAACATTCTAAATGATTTAATATCAAGCTTCAAAAATTCAGATTTTAGATGTAAAGTGCTCGTACATTTTAAAGTGGTTTTATAACAGCTCAAATAATTGATTATAATTACTCCTTTATTATAGCTGTGAGTCAACAGTGTATCTGATTAGATCTATTAAATACCTCGTACCTTATAGCTTGTACTGTTAAAAAAGAATGCTACTGTAAAAGGATCTCATGCTTTAACATGATGCATAATGGAAATTCTAAAATTAATTTTTCTAAGTCACTTATAGTGGAAGATCATACAAATGGAAGCTAGTAAGTGTGCGAATAAACACACAGTCCTTTAGCCTATTTTATACTTTCAAAACAATATTAGGGCATCTTAGTCATGGCTCTTCTGCATTATTCCAAAGACAAAATATCCGTTTATTCATGTCGCGAATGAGAAACAAGATTCTAGTGTACCAAGGCTACCAATCTGTGCAAGACGAAAAATACTACATGTTATCAACAAGTAATTAGTTTTCAAAGGGATTAGATCATCACGTTTGGTCAGAAACTGTATTAATGATAACCGAGGTAAAAGAAACCAGGGCTGCACTTAAGCATAAAGACAAATCTGACATCAGTGCAGTTAATTCGAGAATCAGGGCTATAACATGTTCAAAATAACAATCGGTGCTAAGTACATTGACCTCATAGGTGACCGAACACGACGTTTCAATGCTGGAAACGGATTCCTCATTTGACTGCATTTCCTTGTACTTCTCAACTCCCCAGTTTGTTTGTTCTGTGGAATTTGTTTCCATTCATAGTTGCAATAGGAAGAAAGGCCTTCCCGAGAAACACCAGGGAGTAAAAACATTTGCTCGGTTCTCTGAAGATATGTGCAAAAAGAAGAGTATAAAATCAGGCGAGGGAACTATACAAAGGAGGTGCAGGAGCAGGACGGGCAGGAACTAAATTTCCCTGAGATGACGCTGTCGGGTGCGGTGGAGGTGGCCTGTGGTGGGGAGAAAAGGTAGTTAACGGTGTGTGCGGACCGAAGGAAATAAAGCTGCATTCGTGCCGAGCCCAGCAGAACACGATTCTCAGCCTTCCTGAAAACAGGAAAGCGTGAGACCTGAGTGAGCTGAAGTGACTGCACGTTGGCCCGCTAACGGCCCAGACTGATGTTTCACCCTCCCCTAATCTTCAACAGGGAAAACTGCTTAAACCGAAATGCTTTTAAGATCTCAGAACATCCTGTAGGCATCTGTTAACCATCAACGTGTGGCTGCCGAATAGGGACAGCTGGACCCCAGGGCGAACCAGCAGACCATGAACCTCTGCCACCTGACTGCAAGCTCTGAATGTTAACTCCCCCGTATCCCCTTGGAAGAGGACCTCAGGCCCTGAGCTAGCGCCTCTGAGCTACTCGGCTCCGGAGCGCCGTCTGGCCGGACTAATAAAGGTCTGTTTCATTTCCAACTTGTCCGGTGTGCTCCTTCCCGGGTGAGACTCAAGGCTGTGGAGCTCCTCGGAGCGGTTGGTCAGGCTCTTGGTCTTACAGAAGGTAATTTATATTCTGAGATTATCATTAATATGATAACCAACGGTTAAAAGGTTCCAAGTTTAACTTTAAATGGAGCCATTACCTACCTTATATTGTTATTCCACAATCACAGATGACCCTGCTAGCTTATAGTTTTTGTGTTTTTTGTTTTTTGTTTTTTTAATACCGGGGATCAGACTCGGGTCCTTGCGCTTGTGAGGCAGGTGCTGGAACCACTGAGCTAAAGCCCCAGCCCAGCTAATACGTTTTCAAAAAGAAAACTGCAAGAAATTGTCAAGTCGAATTGTGAAAGACAGGTGGGAAGCATTAACGGATGAAGGCTTTTTCTTGTCTGTGAGAATTTATGGACAACAAATTACTGCTAAGGTAAACCTAGCAATACGTTTACGTGTAGAGAGCTGAAATCCCGTGAGTTAACCCTGCTATGACGACTCCGCCTGTCCGTCTTCGCCCTCATTCTTCGACACCCTCCCTTAACCGCTGCTAAATCCAACCTGAGTGTCCCTTCGGTCTAGCACTGCACAAGAGCACCACCGGGTAAATACACGTCTTGGGATTTACGCACTCTTCTGTCATCTTCGGTTGGGTTTCAGTTGCTCACACTGAACAATAAAGACCATATACCGGGACGCTCCTCAGGGCAGCAGTGCAGTTGGAATTTGGAGGATTTGTTAGGGGGAACAGGGATCAGAGGCACTTTGCACAATGTAAAAAGCGGTGATACATTCATCCCTTTCCTGCTAATTTTAATTTTACTGTCTTTAATGTCAATTCTTGTGTTTTTATGTTCTAGAATTTGCATTCTTATTTTAAAGCCTCTAGTTGTGTAACGGAATTCTCAAAATTGACTATTAATTCCAAGACATAATCACTGTGATTATTCGAAGTCTCTGTCAGATGACTTAACTGGGTACATTTCTCAGCATGTTTTTAGGGCCCACTGATTCTTGGTGTTCATCACATTTTTTTCCTCGTATGCCTAGCTTTTTGGATTGGGGGCCGAACATTAAAACCAAGAACTCAGTTGAGGGTATGGTTCACCTTTAATCCTGGGTCCCAACATAAAGCCTTGGATGTTGGCCAAGGTAGGTCCTCCAGTTTTTATACCCTCGACCCTGTGAGTTTATTGAAAGCTTTCTACTTCCTAACTCCCCACTGGTCACCTTCAGAAGAGATGAATACACCTATAATGGAAAGCATGGTACTCAGATCTGGAATTACCTCTCCACTTCCTCCTGAGCCCCATCCCCACAACTCCTCATCTATTGGGCCTCCTACGCCACTAAACATGTTTTCCAGGCTGGGGATTTAGCTCAGCGGTTCGGTGGCCTGCCTTGCAAGCGCAAGGACCTGAGTTCGATCCCCAGTACCCAAAAAAACAAAAAAAACATGTTTTCCTCCCCCACCAGGTTCTTCTGGCTCTTCTCAACAGGAGGACTGGTCCACCCTGTTTAGCTTCCTGTTGCTAGTTACCCTAAAGGCCTTTGCTTCTGAATTTTACACACACCAAAGACTTCTGCAGTTCATTGTTAAGTGTTGCTCACGCTTCTTTTTAACATTTCCTTTTATCGTTTTACTAAAATGATGAAATTCTCGCAAAAGTTCTTTAAAAGCCTTTCTTTAAACTGTGTTCTAAACTTGTCCTAAATGAAACCGTCTACTTTGCCCTAGGGTAAATTAAAAATAAGAGAAACTATAAGGCTTAAGCATGGATTTTACTCTAGGCGAGTAATCTAACAAATTCATTTCAGACCTTGATGGAAAGTGCTGAGGCTGCTTGGCTGCACAGACTGGTACTGGAAACCGGTTTGCATGTACAGGCTAAAAGGAGACAATAAAAATAAAAAGGACATGGTCACTATGGAGTCACAAATATGTTTCCTGTATAATTAATATACGTAAATTAACTACTTATAATGCTAACATTTTTAAATAGTTTGCTTAAATGGGATATAGCTCAGGGATAGTACGCTTGCCTAGCATGTGTAAGACTCTGGATTTGATCTCCAGCACCACAAAAAAAAGTTTTGTTATTTGCTCATTCAACTATCTTTACCACTGAATGCAGAATACAATAGTATCTCAGTTCATGAATGCTTTTGTCATGGAACAATTTGGTTCCCAAACAGAAACATTTGGCAAAGTTTTGTTTTTGCTTGCAAACTCTGCATTGAGTGACAAACAGGACCATGGCCATCTTCCCTACACACTCACACAAAAACCACGGACATCTTTTCCAAAACTGTAGGACAAACTAAGTTCACGAACCTAAGTATCAGTATACTTTATTCTTTTAATGCTGTATTAGCCTTCTTGTCACCAGGACACAGTACCTGATACCCACAACTTTGCGGAAGAGAGGTTCAATTCAGCTCACAGTTTCAGAGGAGTCAGTCCACTGCCAGCTGGCTCCAAGGCAGTAATTACAGCAGAAGGGGGTGGGAAGGAAAGCTGCTGAGTTCACTGCAGCCAAGAAGCAGAGCAAAGGGACAGCCCCAGAGACGAAGGAGCCAGAGAACAGCAGATCCAGACCAAAGTCCGTGCTCCGTGACCCACGTGGACACGCCCCTAAGTGTGATCCGCCAGTCACCAGGGCAGATTCCAAAGCCAATCAACCTGACACTCCCTCCTACCTGCCACAAGTGCTGTATTTTTTAACAATTCAAAATCATCAAATTATAATCATTTTGGTGCACATTAACTACATTACGCCAATATATTTTAAGTAACATCTTTTGTAATGCATTATCAAGTGAATATCGTACCTAATCAGTACTGTAAATGCCACGAATCTTACTTTTGGAATTCATGATATTCTTCCTTGAAAAGGTAGTTGAAACAACGTTTTACCACAAAGGAGGACTGTATATTTCAGCCCTCAATAAGAAAGCAAAATAAACACATTTTTAACACAGAAGACGTTCTATTGGGAAAAGAGAGACCGGATGGAATTACTCATCACTGACAGAGTGATCTTGACCAAGGTTTTCTGCATTGTCCATTAATCCCCACAGCTCTGTGGGGAGAATTCACACAGAGTCAGAAAGGAAACTGAGCACTCACGTCTCCCCTGCTCACTTTTCTCCCAAAGAAGGACGTGCAAGTCTTATAAACTGCAGAAGAGATGCAGTGAACGTCTCCATCTCTTCCCACCAAAACTTCGGCAACACTTCGGAAGGGAAGTCAAATTCTACTCTTTGGAATAATAATTCGCTGAGGCGATGGACACATCAGTTGGCAACACTGACTCTTATGACAGTGGACACAGTGATGAAAATATCACATTGTACCCTATAAACATACACAATTACCTGTCCAAGTTTTACACTGAAACTAAAAATTATTAAGTAATCAAGTCAAGTAGTTTTATCTAAAAATTACACATTAACAAATTAAACATTGTCAGACCCCATACAATTAATACAATTATGATTTGCCAATTAAAATATTTTAAATTTTACTTCAGCTTTTTTGTTTTGGTACCAGAAATCAAACTCAGGACCTCACATTTGTAAGGCAGGTACAGGGCCACTGAGCTAAATCCCTAAGCTTTTTTTCAGTTTATCTGACAATATACTTTTACATATATACAAAGCATGATAAAGTCCTTGTGTTGTTTAGACAAGGAGTAAAAATATTAATTTTAGGAATTATATTACATATGCATGTTAAAATTATAGAAAATCTCTAAAAGAGATTCTGGCTATATAAGAATAGATAATTTATCTAGCAGTAAACCTAAACACTAGCACAGGAGAAAACTGAAATATGGCATGAGGGAAACTAAATGAACCCCAAAGAATAAAAAAAGAATTGGACACAGAAAAGAAGACAAAGACAGGAAAATAAATCAAAATTGCTCATAGAAATCACTGTATTAAGAGTTATAGCCAGGGATGGTAGTGGATGACTGTAACCCCAGCACGTGGGAGACTGAGGTAGGAGAACCAGTGTGAGTTCAAGGCCACTATGAACTACATAGCAAAAGCCTCTCTCAAAAAAACCATAAAACAAGCTACAATCTGTGTAAATGGATTAAAATCTCTAGTTAAAAGTAAATTTTTTGGGCTGGGGATTAGCTCAGTGGTGCTGTTGCCCAAGCACAAGGTCCCTAGTCTGATCCCTGGTACCAAAAAAAAAGTAAATATTTTTAAATATTAAATATTCTGAATATCTGATTTACATAAGCAGGCAAAGGAAGGCTACATGTGCTATGAGATAAATGCCAGCTCAACAAAAACTTACTAACGATAGACTAATACAGAAAAGTAAATTGGAAGAAATTGTTTTTCCTAAACTCACTGTATTCATGCCCAAAAGCTAAAAACAGCTATAACTACTATTTTAAAGATTTGTAGTTATCAACCGGGCGTGGTGGCACACGCCTATAATCCCAGCACTGGGGAGGCTGAGGCAGGGGGATCGCTGTGAGTTCCAGACCAGCCTGGGCTACCCAGTGAGTTCCAGGTCAGTCTCAACTACATAGTGAGACCCTGTCTCAAAAAACCAAAAAAAAAAAAAAAACACACACACACACACACAAAGATTTGTAGTCATCAATAAGAAAGCTGTCTTCTACAAGAATATGGGGAAATTTTAAATGTGCTTTAACTGAAAGTAAAAGCTTTTCGTCCAAGAATAAGAATAAACCAAGAATCACTGTTATACTCCACAGCAGCAGAAGATCCAACCACAGAGATTAAAGAAATAAAAGAGTATCTATCCACAGATGATCTGATCATGTGTGTGCGGATGTGTGTGTACACACTAGGACTCAAGCATACATGAAGAAGTTACTAGAGCAAATCCATGCGTTTGCAAGGGCTATGGAGTACAGGAATATGCAAAGATCAGTGGTGTTTGAATATACCAGCAGTGAAATATCCAAAAAGAAAATTAAATAATTATATTTATAATAACTGTCAAAAGAGTAAGCCTACAAAACAATGCTACAAGAAGTACACTTAAGGGAGGCTGAGGCAGGAGGATCACTGCAAGTTCGAGACCAGCCTGGGCTACATAGTGAGTTCCGGGTCAACCTCAACTACATAGTGAGACCCTGTCTCAAAAAACCAAAACAAAAAACAAAAAACAAAAAAAGAAGTGCACTTAAGCAGAAAGACCCTAGCATTCATGCAGTCAAAGACTTAGTGTTGATCAAATGTCAATGCAACTCAAAACAAACTACAGAATCAACATAAGCTCTATAAAAAATTTAACTTTTTTTTGTAGAAATTGAAAAATTGCCAGGCACAGTGGTACATGCCTATAATCCCCGCACTCCGAGAGGCTGTGGCAGGAGGATCTTCACAAGTTCTAGGCCAGCCTGGGCTACACCGTGAATCTGTCTCATAAGGAAAAGAAAAATTGAAAAACTATTTCTAAAATTCATATGGAGTCATAAGAGGACTGGAGTCACCAAAATAATGCTGAAAAAGGCAACAGCGTGGGAGGCTTCACACTGCACAATTCCTGACTTAATAAAATGCAACAGTAATCAAAATAGTACAGTACTGACATAAAGATGGGTAAAAAAACCAACAGATCAGAACTGAGAGTCTGGAAACAGTAACCACCGACAACAGGCCAGTGATTTCCCACAAGGCTGCCAAATCCATTCAGTGAGGGTTAGCATAGTCTCAGTGTGCACACTGTATACAAAATTATAAAAGATCATAAAGGAGCCAGGCATGGTGGAACACACCTATAATCCCCCAGCACTTGGGAGGCTAAGGCAGGAGGATATCCGTGAGTTTGAGGCCAGCCTGGGATACACAGGGAGTTCAAGTCCAGCCTGAACTAAGAGTGAGACCTGCCTTACAAAATAAAACAAACAAAAGACCGTAAGGGACCACTCTGAACAATTACAGGCACACACTGGAAACATTAAAAAACGATAAATTCCTTCAAGCATACAACCTACCAAGATGAATCATGAAGAAATAGATGATCTGAACAGACCAATAACAAGCAAGGAGATCTGAAATCAGAAATGTAAAATGTCTCGGGAAAAGCTCAGGTCTTGGGAACTTTACAGCTGATTTCTACCAAACCCTTAAAGAAGAATTAATACCAAGTTTCTCAAACTTTCAAAAATTTGATGAAAATACTTTCAAACTCACTTAATGAGGCTAGAGCAGTATTACCCTGTTACCGAAGACAAAGACGCTATAAGAAAAGAAAACTATAGGCCAATATTCTTGATGAACATAGATGCAAAAATCTTCAACAAAATTGTAGAAAGCCAAATTCAACAGTACATTTGAAAGATATTTCACCATGAACAAGTGAGACTTATCCTTGAGCTTGTAAGGAAGGCTCAATACACACAAATCAATAAATATTATATACCATACAAACAGAATAAAGGAAAAAAGTCACATGGCCATCCCAAGTAGATACAGGAAAAGCAAAATAAATGTGGCAAATTTCAAGATAATTTCATGATAATAACTCTCAACAAGCTGGTTCAGGAGGAATGAACCTTGAAAGATAAAGGCTATTTAGAAGCTCACAAGTAATACCATATGCAACAGTGAAAAGCGGAAAGCTTTTCTTCTATTATAAGAAAAGAGACAAGGAGGTCCACTTTTATTCAACAAAGCACAAGAAGTTCTATCCAGGGTGATTAGGTAAGAAAAAATTTGTAAAACTGTCTCTATTTGTAGATGGCATGGTTTTAAATATAGAAAATCCTAAATATTCCACCAAAATAACTGACAGAAATAATAAATTCAGTAAAGTTCTAGGAGACAAAATCAACATTAGAAATCAACATTTTTATACACAAATAACAAACTTTCTGAAAAAATCTTAAGAAAATTTATTCAGAATAACATTCAAAATAAAATACTTGGGATACATTTCATCAAAAAGGGGAAAGATCTGTACAATGGAAATTACAAAATACTGATAAAAAAAATTTGAAAAAGACACAAATAAATGTTAAGAAATCCCATGTTCATGAATTGGGAGAATTATTGTTAAAATGCTCATACTTCTAAAATAATCTACAGGTTCATTGAGAGCTCCATCAAAATTCCAGTGACATGAGTCTTAGTAAGTGATTTTCCAACAACGGTGCTAAAAACAAGCACTGAAGAAGGGACAATCTTCAATAGGGTGCTGGGAAAACTGGATACCCACCGTGGAGGAAGGAACTAGACCCTTGTCTCTCATTGTACACAAACATTAACTCAAGATGTATTAAAGATTTAAATATAAAGATTTAATCTATGAAACTACTAGGATAAAACACAGGAATTTCTGAACAAGAGCTAAAAGCACATGAATCAAACACATACGTAGACACATGGGATTACATTCAACTAAAGAGGTTCTTCATAACAAAGAGAACTATCAATAGAGAGAAGAGAAAACCTACATAAAGAAAATATTTTCAAATTATACATGTGACAAGGAGTAGAAATCCAGAAGACATAAATAACCTCAAAAACTCAACAGTGAAATAACAATAACCCGATTTTAAAATGGACAATAGGCCTAACAGACATTTCTCAAAGTAAGATACACAAATAGATCACTTATCATCAGGGAGCTTCAAATCAAAACAAAAAATTAGGTACCATGTCACCTGATAAGGATGGTTTTTCCAAAGAGTAAAGAAACATGCTGGTACGGATGCAGAGAAAAGGGAACTCTGGCACACTACTGGTGAGAATATAAATTAGTGTGACCATTACGGAAAACAGTATGAATTTTCCTCAAAAATTTAAAAACAGAATCAACAAATGATTCCACTATCCCATTTCTAGGAGAAGCTCTGGACCGGGGAACTTCACGGTTGATTTTTACCAAACACTTTAAAATTGAAAGCCAGTAAGACATGTCTGCACACTCATGTTCAACACAGCATTAGTCACAATGGCCAAGAGGAGGGAATCATCTGAATCTGTACTGATGTATGGACAGATACAGAATATATAGGCCACACATGCAATGGAATATTATACAGCCTTAAAAAGGAAGCCATGTGCTGACTATGGCTGAATGCCAAATACTGTACATTGAGTGAAATAAAACCTCAGGAACAGCGATTAGGGATCCTGTTCACAAAACCAGAAAAAGGGAAGTTGAGTGAGCCACTACCTTGCACCCATTCAACTGTAAACTCCACCATGACGATCACCCCTGCTTCCACTGTCCTCAGAGAGGAACAAAATAGAATAAGGAGAGTTCAGGAGATCCTGGACACCAGTTAGGAGAGGCCAGGGAGGCACCCGGAGTCAGAAGCGTCTGACTGTGAATCCTGGAAGCCACAGCAGAGCTGTCGGGCTCCCTTTCTGCTCTTTGCCTGTTCCTGCCACTACTGTGTTGTGATTGTCAGTTAAACACAGCTACTTACTGCTTACTGTGAGGTACACATTCGGCGGATCCGCTGAGCCAGGAACTCTGCTGGTACTCCTTCAACTCAGGGGCCACCCAGAATACCCTCAAATATTCAAAGACTATCTATGCTCACATTCACTCTTTGTAACCCTTTCTAAAACATTTTGTTTTTCTAGTGCCAGAGGTTGAACTCGGAGCCTGGTGCATGTTAGGCAAGTACTCCAGCACTGGTCTACATCCCAGCCCCTTTTAAAATTTTTTAATATGCAACACTTTAACATAGTAAAGAAAATAATTTTTCATTTTAAGCTTCTGACTTCTGTGGGAGAACTATGTGAAGAAGCACTTACCGGCTGTCGAGGAGGACCCACCGGCTGCCGAGGAGTAGTCACTGGCTGTCTAGGAACGCTAGTTTGATTTTTGCCGTCTGACCTGAAAGATACGATTACTTCTGAGCTGAACTAAGATTAAAACACTTCCAAATTACACATCACAAGTATTTTTCTTTTTCCTGACACAGGATAATTTAGGTGGTGGTGGTTTTAATGCAGACTGTGAGAGCTGAAGTCTTTAGGCATTGCCAACAGCTTCCACACAGGATTACCCCTGCCACACTAAAACATGTTACTAACCACATTTTATAACTAAATAACTGAAAACTTTTAAGAAAATAAGTGATTTTATCAATTGGGCCAGTATAACCTAATTTTTCTTCTCAAATCTTCTATAATCACATAAGAGTTAAAACTATGTTCTTAGACCACATGTACAGTATCTGAAGCCGTCACTAAAATTAGGAAGAACAGGAGTATAAAATAGGTTGCTTAAAAAAGACATCAGGTCGGGCCGAAGATTTAGCTCAGCGGCACCACGCCTGCCTCGGAAGCTCAAGGTTCAGTTCAATTCCCAGCACCAAAAAAAAAGAAAGAAAAAGAAAGACATCAGCTATGTTGAGAGGTCAAGGTGCCAGCGAGTCGGCTCGAGAAAACTTTGGCACTGTCTGCATAGAACGGTCAGTGAGAACTGTCACAGGAAGAGAGAGAAAGAAAGACTAGGAAGGCAGATTTGTTTAGAAAACACTGGAAATGAAGGCAAACACCAAGAGACTCTGGAAAATCATTACGTAAAGAGGTGAGTGGCATCAATGAAGCAAAGGTGAATGGTAAGACTAGCAATGGACATTTGAAATCGTTATCATAACAAATGGTTATTAAGTACTTACAAGGAGCCCACAGAGGGCTGTGGGTTTTATTTGCTAATATTTCCTCATTTAATTCTTACAAACACATTCCCATTTTATAGAAAGCAAACCAAGGCTCAGAGAGCTTTATTTATAGTTTCAGTTCATAACTGCACCAAAAGAGAAACCTAAAACTTGAATCCAGATCTGATCACAAGCTCCATGCTAACAGACACCACCTTCGAAGACCACATATTAGAAGCAATCACAGAAAGTTTTATGAGAGCCCAGCACACAGCCTAGCAGTGTAAAGTGTCAGAGCTGTGACACGCAAACAATTTTCTACCAAAACTTATAGCTTCAGTCTGTTTTCAAAACTGAGAACTAAATGTCTTCCTCTGTAAGTACTGAAACGAGAGGGCCGGGGATTTAGCTCAGTGGCATCGCACCTGCAAGGCTGAGTTCAATCCCCAGTACCCGCCCCACCGAAAGAACTGAAACAAGAAAACATTCACACGTTTTATCTTTACCCCATCTCTTCATTTCTAATTAAAGAAGAAACCAGATATCACGTCCGGAAACTCTACTTACCCACTCTCACACATCAGCATTAAGCAAAAGAAACCATCAGGGCGCCATCAGCAGCACACAGCACAATCATTTCCAGCCCCTCAAACCCAGGATTCCCCCAGCAAAGGAACAGAGAAATAGCTTAGAACTCAATTTCTAAAAGACTGGCGACTCCCATGATAGGACTATCACCATCAGTAATTGCTTTAAATTACTTAATAGAAATTAAAAAGCCAGAATCTAAGTACTCATACGTTTGTGATCGCTTCTTTCTGAAGTACACTTTCCGGAGCTCATCTCTCTTCATGAAGAGAAACACAGCAAGCACCATGAGCGGAACCACCAAGAAGAAGAACACCAGAAGTCCATCCCTCAGCACGGTGCTCTTTGCTACAGAGACAAAACGTATGAGAATGGCCATCAAACCAGATGTTAATATCGGAGCGTAGCAGGTGGTTATGGATGTTTCACATTAAACTTGAGACATTTCTAGGCAAATAGATGCATCTTGACAACATACTCTTTTTCTTGTTTTATTTTTTGGTACCAGGGATCGAACTCAGGATCTTACCTTTGTGTGGCAGGTGGCAGCACCACTGAGCTAAATCCCCGGCCTGACACCATACTCTTAAGTAAAATAAATTGGACACACATGTATAAATATTTCATTGTTAAGCCAGGCGTGGAGGTGCATGCCTATAATCCCAGCACTTGGGAGGCTGAGGCAGGAGGATTGCTGTGCATTCGCGACCAGTCTGGACTACATAGTGAGTTCCAGGTCAGTCTCAACTACAGAGTGAGACCCTGTCTCAAAAAACCAACTAACTAACTAAATAAATAAATAAATAATAAAATATTGCATTATTTCCCTGATGAGAGAAACCAAAAGTATAAATAAGGAAAATAATAATAATAATTAATAACAGATTTGTTAAATAGGAAGAAAATGTTCAAATGGGAAGGGAAACTAGGGGAAGGGGGAAGGAAGGAAGGAACAATAAAAAAAGGAATAGAAGGAAAAAATGGAAACACAGCTTTCGTAAATTAGGAGGAGAAGAGGGGTTGAAGGGAGGGTAGGGAAATGGGGGAAAAAGAAGAACAATGAAGATAGAGCGTGTACAGGTACAAATTCCCCATGTCAAATGCGACCACTTATGTAAATGCACCAATAAAATTAATAAATTTTTAAAAATCAAATTGATATAAACTGAACAGTTTGAGAAGTCTTGCTCATACTCCATCCCAAATGTAACTATTTTTATTCATTTCTTATTTAAACTTACAGTATTTATTTTCACACACATATAAGCAAGGCCAAAGTGTTAACCCTTTCTTACACAAAACGAAGCATGTAATAAACACTGTTTAGGAAATCACTTTTTTTATTTATCTATATACCATTCCAAAATACACAGAGTCTCCTCATTTTCTACATAAGAATCCATTGTGAGGAGGTTCTACTCATAGATAAAAGAATTTTCCAATCTTTTGCTACTGCAAAAAATGTTACACTGTCACATTACATAGGCTGAGGAATAACTATAGCATAATTTTCCAAAAGCTGACTTGCTCTATCAAAGGGCAAATGCAGTCACCACTACTTAACCCACAAACAATATGCAATAATTTCTCAGAGTCTCCCCACAAGCCAAAATTCTGGACTTTGGCTGACCTGATCAGTGAAAACTTGAATCTCACAAAATTTTAAAGTATATTTCTTTTTTATACTGAGTTGTGCACTTTTTGTGTTTCAGGAAATAATGTTAGTTCTTTTTTTGTGGTCAGTCTTTTGACTAGTTTTCGGTAAGAGTTTTGAATTTTTTCTTTTTTAATTTCTAAAAGCACTGTCTATTCAAAACATCAGCTTTTTTGGTGATGTAAGATGGAAATATTGTCCCCATTTTGTCATTTGTCTATAGTACAATGCTTTTCTCTAAGCAAAAGTTTATTATTTTTGTATAGTTGAGTTTATCATTGCTATTTTTCATGGGGTGCAGAATTTGAGCTCCATTATAACTTTTAAAAAAATCATTAGCCAGGTGGGGTGGTTCATGTCTATGATCTCAGTACTTTAGGAGGCTGAGGCAGGAGGATCACAAGTTCGCTCCAAATCTGCACAGTTTAGTGATTTAGCAAGACCACATCTCAAGCTCAGCACAAAGGCCCTACATTTGTTTGATCTGAACATGACATAAAACTTATTTGTTTTATTTCTATGAGTTCCAGAGAAAATGTAAAACTTAAGAAAATAACTTATAGGGCCAGGGATTTAGCTCAGTGATTCTGCTGCCTGTCTTGCAAACACAAGGACCTGAGTTGGATCCCTGGTACCAAAAAAGAAAATAACTTATATTTGTAAAGATTCTTCATATTTTCAAAGCTCAAGAAACAAAACAACCTATAGCTCACATGTTCTCAAACTGTTTGCTACATGTACCTAAACTTGGTATATGTTTGTTGTTATAAAAATAGGATCCTTTTTAAGAGGTTTTTAGAAGATTGTGAATTTCTTGCCGGTTAATTTAGGAAAAGCCACCTATAGTTGCTGTATGAGCCAAGGAAGAAAAAAGTGGACAAGAGACTTGCATTTAAAACAACATGTGCAAAGAGGTGAATTCTTAGTAAACAAACATGCTTGGATTTCCTCTTTGCAGGTCTTTGTTTCTGGTGAGTATGAAAACAGATCCTGCCTCTCTAAACCATGAAGCAGACGCCTAAGAAGACAAAAAAAGGATCTCAGGTGTCCCTATACTTCACTGTCTTCGTACAGGCAACTCTACTATTTAGAGTAATATTGCAAAACTGTTGCGTTAAATAAGAAAAAAAACCTGAGTTATTTTGAAATGAAGGCATTTCTAAATTGTGGGATAATAAAAAAATGATGGGGAAAACTGACAACATTACAATGCCTATATTAGGAAAAGACAAAAGGCCTCAATGAAATGACCTTATTTTTCATCTTAAGAAAACAGAAAAACCTGAAAAAGATGAGAAAATGTGTTGTTAAAAGAACTGAATTCATAAAGTACGAAGAACCTCCAAATCTCAAGATGACAAGGAACCAACTACAAAGCTGGAAAAGTTTGAAAACACAGATCACATAAGCAAATATGGGGATGACAATACGCAAGCAAAGAGGTGCGCAACTCATCAATAACTGCAGACATGAAACTGAAAACTACACCTGAGGGCAGGGGATTTAGCGCAGTAGTGCTTGCACCTGCCCGCAAGCACAAGGTCCTGAGTTAGAGTCCCCAGTATCAGGAAAAAAAACAAAACTAAACAAACAAACAAACAAAAAACCCTTAAAATATCACCGTCTATCTAAAATTAAAAATACTGACTATACCTAATGTTAGCAAGCGTGTGAAAAAATTGGAATCCTCATATCTTGGCGGTGAGAAAGTAAAACAATATACAATAATCTATAGGGGATACCTGAAACTATATACACTACTGAACTTGCAAGCAGCCTACAGTCTAGCAGGGAATAAAAACAAGGAACTATTATAGTACGTGATGTACTAACAGTTCTAGGCTGATCAGTTCAAATTTAGGTGGTCAAGGAAAAAATCTACCAAGAAGTAAGGTATAAATTGAAGCCCGGGAAGGAATCAGCTAAGCTCCAACAAAATGGAAATAAAATAGTTTGAAGGCTCAGCAGTAAAAGAGTTGCCTATTAAAGGAAATTAAAGAAGTTACAATCTGTTTAAGCATTAAAAGGCTGAAAAGATAAGCTCAAGAAAATGATGCAGAGCATTGAAGGCATGCGAAAGATTTAGGGAATTCATGCTGACAGCAGCACAGAAACACTGAATTAAAATCAGGACACTGACATAAAATCAAATATGTGAAGGAAAACACTAACATTTTGCAGTATAATGTGGAACATGGATTATAAAACGCAAGATGGGCAGGCTAGGGATTTAGCTGTGGGGCCATGCCTGCCTCACAAGTGCAAGGTCCTGAGTTCGATCCCTGGTACCCTGGGGGAAAAAATAAAGCAAGATGGAAAATGGGGAGGGAGCCTAAGATATAAGTCCATTATGTAAGGCAAGGCAAGAAATGGGAAGAAATGGGGACTGAAATGGAAAAAGCGAGGCATGGTAGTGTACACTATAATCCCAGTTACTTGGGAGTGACAATTTAGTGAGAACTTATCTCAAAATAAAATTTCTCAAAGGGCTAGGGATATACTTCAGTGCTCTTTGGGTTCCATCCCCAATATCATAAAAAAGAAACAAACACTACAAAGTATCTGCAAAAAAGAAATATCTGCCAAGATTTTGGAAGGCATAATCAACACAACTTAGTGTACAACTGATGTGGGGGGTAAGGGAGAGGTCTAAGGATACCAAATTTTTGTCTTGGTCCATTGGGAAATTGCTGTAATTCTCTTCAGTATTACTTGCCATTGTATGTAGGTCCACTGTCCACACTTCCACCATATCCTTTAGTCTCACAATTTGGGGGAGCCCAGCCATTTTCACAGTGACAATTCTTATTGCTATTACAGACCTTCAAAACAATCAAAATACCACTTTCGTTAATTGTGAATATTGCTCTGTTTCATCAACTATAGAATGTAAACCAAGACAAAGGACTAAAATACAAAATCATTTAAACTCTTTTTGAAAATGAAAAATTTAATGAATAGTTCTCCAACATCTAAAAATCCAGAAATTGTTGGAATTCTCATTGAATACTTGCTGGGAATTCTTGTTCTAAGCACTACTTTAATAAACAATCAAAAGAGAATATTACCTACCCCATGTCCATGACACTTTTCCTGAACATCACAGTCATAATTCAAAATGGATGCATTTACACACTGGAAATTCCTACAAATCTAAAAAAAAAAATTAAGTAAAAGACAAATCGAACACATTAATAAAGAACTACTCAGATTATATTATTGGAGAATTCTTTTTAAACTTTCCAGGAATAGTTAATTCCAATATTATAACTTTGAAAATGTAGAAAAATATGTGAAATTAATTAATTGGCACAGAACTAAAGATCACAAAAGACAAAGATGACATAAAGGCCAAAAACAAAGATAAAAGTACAATCTATCCTAAAAGAATATAGATGCAAAGATTACACATAAAATATTTACAAACTGATCTTTTTAAAATCAAAAGTAACCACATGGGGGCCGGGGATCTAGCTCAGAGGTTTTGTCACCTGCCTCCCAAGTGCAAGGACCCAAGTTTGATCCCCCATAATGAAAAAAAAAGTAACCACATGGAATTAATCTTAGGGCTACAGAAAAGACTGAGGAAATCTAGTACTATTAACACCTCTCATAAGTTGTTATTAAATAAATATCAAAAGGACAGCTGTTACACTCTAAAGCATTTCAATTATTTATTCTTCAAAAAATAAAAGAACATTTTGTTGGCAAAACAAAACCTATCATACAGTGTTATATTAAAGGTTAAGTAACAGGCACTTCTATGAAAAACAGTATTGAAGAAATCATTATAAGGTTCTAGAAATTAGTTTGTGCAGTGAGATATGAAAGGGATGAATCCTAAATACTGAAAAAGTAATTGAAAGGTCTCAACTCAGAGTAAACATTAAACCAGAGACCTAAAGGAATCACCTAAAAACTTAGAAGAAAGCCGAGCATGGTGGTGGTGCACAGCTGTGGCTGAAATCACAGCACTCCGGAGGATCGCTGCAAGTGCCAGGCCAGACTGGCTACATAGTGAGTTCAAGACTAGCGTAAACTACATAATCAGACCCACCCTGGCAGAGGAGACTGGCAGCAGCCTGTGACCCTCTGGTGGGCCTGTCTCTTCCACACAGAGCAACAGAGGAGCATGGAAGAAGCACGAGACCCTCTGGTAGGCCGGCCCCTTGGCCCAGCGCAGCAGAGGAGCCCACAGGTGCCAACACAGTGGACAAGGGCAAGAGGGCTTCTCTGAGGCTCATAGATGAAAACTGAAGCCCACTACAAATGCGAAGAAAACCTCTGTGATAAAGGCACACCACACCACCACAGTTGGTAAGTCAGATGAACCAGCACCTCATATTGGAACCTGTCTAACTTCAGGGGAAAGACAGCTGGCACCTGCAGTAGAACCTTGCAGAGTTCAAACCAGCAGGAAGTCAGAGATCTCAGCTTGGGCCTTGCAGACAGAAATCAGCCTGAACCTCAGTGACAGCTGCTGGCTTGCTGAGACTAATTAACTTAGACCTGCACACTCCTGCCCATGCTATCTATTGTGTCAGCAGAGGCATGCCCTGAAGGAGGCCGTCTATTTCTACACGTAGTTTTTATTCTCAAATCTTTAGACATTGAAAAGAATTTATCTATCTCTTTCTTTTCTCAAATTTTTTTCCTTTTTAATCTTTTTTCTTATCTTTCTCTCCCACCTTATCTTCATTTATCTCCCTTTTTGTTCCTATTCCTATCCTAATTTGAATTTATTTTTTCTTTGTCTTTTATTCTCTTTCTCCTTCTCTCAATTGCCATTAGTTTTAAAAAAGCAATTACAGTCTCTAAACTCCCTATTGCTGTTAGGTTGTTCTGTTCTTGTGTATATTTTGTTCTGTCTTCTCCTCTTCTCTTCAACAGCTTCCTAGAGTTTGTGAGATCTTCCTGTGTCCTCTCACCTCACTCTTAACCTTTCTCTAACTCTCCCTCCTCAACTCCTTCTAAGTCCCCAACCGGAATGGTAAAGGTGCAATACTGAAGAGTTTATTCACTATGAACATATTTAGGGCTGGTCTTTGATTATGATTTAATTCACACAGTTAAAGGTGATAGATTAATAAATGATATAAATTATCATTGTCTAAGCTGTGCTTGATGCTACTGATTGTATCACTTGGGCTAAGGTGTTGTGATTGATCTAATCGGTTGTCCTTCCTGGTATAATGAAAATGAGATTGCCTTAGAGTCATTAGAGATTCAAAACCTAAAGACCAGCTATACCTGGACGATTGAAATATTAACCCACGATTAAAACAAGGACAGTACCTAAACAACAAAAATAGAAATGAGAAGACATTTAAACAAGGCACAAACACAGACTTCCACCCCACCAAAGGTAAACTCTGGGGGAAATAAGGTGGAAAAGTCAACAGTCAACCATCTGGACATGCTGAAATGATAGCACAGGAAGTAAAAAACAAACAAACAAACAAACAAGAAAAAACAGATAAATGAGGCTCTAGAAAAATTCAAAACAGAAATAATTTCCCAGATAACCACAGAGATGGTGAGAAGAATGAAAGGCATGACTAGAGATTCTAGAACAAAAAACAGATTTTAAAAATAGATGAGCTCAGGACCATGATGGATACCATGAATGCCTAGCATAGAAAAAAATAGAAACCTTGAGGGCCCAATATAGGAAAGAAATGGAATCCATGAAACAGATTCAAACAGATATCTGGGAGATTAAAAACTCTAAAGAAAGCATTCACAGCAGAATGAATGAATGTGAAGATAGAATCTCAGATATAGAAGATAGGATTGCAGTCAGTGACCATGAAGAGATCTCTTAAAAACAGTAAGCAATCATGAGAAATCGATCCAACAACTCTTAGATGATGCAAAGAAGAATAATATAAGACTGATAGGAATCCATGAAGTAGCAGGAGAAAGTACAAATCAAAAAAAAAAAAAAAAAAAAAGTTCACAGAATTAATGACAGAAAACTTCCCAGAGGGGAAGAATGTGACATACAGGTAAGTGAGGCATATGGGACTCCAAATAGCCATGATCAAAAAACACCTACACCTAGACACATAGTAATCAAGAGCATGGAAACCAAAAAAGAACAATATACTACAAGCAGTTAAAGAAAAGAAACAACTCACATACAAAGGAAGGCCCATCAGAGTCACAGCAGACTTGACACAAACCCTCAAGTCAAGGAGAGCCTGGAGTGAAGTATTTCAGTCCTAAAAGAAAACAACCTCCAACCTAGACTGACGTATCCTGCAAAGCTATCTTTCAAAACTGATGAACAAATAAGATACTTCCATGACAAAGACCCCATGTCAAAACTGACAAACAAACAAACAAACAAAAACTGAGTACTTTGCCGTTTTCTGGAAAACTGTTATCTTTGCAAAAGCTGCTCTTCTATGGTAAGTTAGGGATAACAAACTAACAAACAAACAACAAACAGGCCAATCTTTTTTTTTTTAAAGATTGTTGGGTGCTGTTTTAAAGTTTTCTTAGATAACCAACTACACAAGACCAGAATATTTAAGTGAACTAATGATACAAAGGATAATTTGAGAACAAATATACAGATACAGTGAAGTAGTAAGTTATCTTTACTATTCTAAAAAATATACAGGTGTGAAGAACTGTGCTTAGGAGTCAGAGTGTTCTAAACAGTTTCCTCCAATAATTTTCAGTTAATTTTAAAATAGGAAGTATATTCATGATTAAAAATCCAAAAAGTGCCGAGACTCTATAGTAAAAAGTAGTTTGTCATCATTCCTCTCAATGCCCGGTATCCTTGGATGAGACCTGAAAATACTTTCTTCATTCATCTACTAAGTCTTTACACAAGACATTCACCAATAGCTTCCCTATTCAGTTAAAAGGTGGACTTCCAATAATGATTCACAGTGCATACCTGCAGCATTAGAAAGATCACAGAAATAGGGGTCAGGTGTCAATAACTGGCAGGTTTACTTTAATGAGCAGAAAGTTCCAAAGCCTTTATACAACAGTGTGCTGTGATGAGCAATGTTTGCCTTGTGGATTGAACAGAACCAAACTGTTTGGGGTAGGAGAGTAAGACCGTATTTAAAGTATTTTTATAGTAAAAGACAAAACAGGTTATATTTAAAACGGATATAACTAACCGTTAATACTCTTATAATATAAGAGAAGCCTAAAAATGGCAACAAAAAGCAGTAAGATATGAATACAAAATTCTCAGAAAAAATGCAGCCATGAAATAAATAAATGAATAAAGCATGAAAAGATGTTCAAGCAGTGAAGCGAGAACATTAAAAGAGCGATGTTGGCAACAGCGGAGGAAATAAGACATCCTTATATATAATTAGGAGAATGTAAATTGTCAGTTTACCTTATTAAAACTGGCAATTTCTCTCAAAAGCTTAAAATCTACTTCTAGGAATTTATCTATGGAAGTATTCATAAAAGTAGATGAGATTAAATTCAGAAGTGTTCAGCACTTGCCAAATAAACTGCAGTCAAGAAAATTTGCCATATTGTGATAAAATCACTGCTATCTATAGAGATAAGATGGATTTTCATATAATGACCTGAAAGATCTGTGCCTTGCACTATTGAGCAAATACATTTCAGAATATTATTGAAAATCTAATCCAGTTCTGTTTTTTCAGTGGGGGTGGTGGATACATCTGTGTAATGTCCAGGGAGGGCTACACAGATACAACCTAGAATAGAAACTTACCGAGGAAAAGATTTAGAAAAGAAATGAGTGCGATATCAGGAGGGAATCTTTGTTTTTCGCTTTTTGCATTGTATGTTTTTAAAATTTTAAAATAATGACCAGATGCTATAAACCAGAGTACACTCTTCTAAAATGCACTAAAAACACTCGTAACAAATGAACATGCGGTCAGCTCAAGGGTTCTCCAAACCCAAAGTGAACACCTGATTTCATTATTTTCAATAGTCAACAGAACCTCCAATACTGCTTCTCAAGAATGGGTACCAGTTGCCCTTTGTTTTTATATTTCATTTTAAAAATCAAAATAATATATTAACAGGGTTTGAAAAATCAAATAGTGCTGAAAGACTTATGACAAAAAAAACTTTTCACCTACTTATATCTACTCAACTAATGTCTTTCGTGATACCAAAAGTTTAACTTTTTACAC